GTGATATATTTTCAAATCATGATGGTCTGAGAATTGAAGGGGAGCTTGCAGGCAGCTGTATTCCCAAATATTTGCTGCCCTTGTCCTTCTAAATAGCCAGGTGTTTGTAAGCTGCTGTTGGAACAGCCTTGATGAATTTCTGCAGTGCATCTTGCTTCACCCTGCGTCAGGGTGAAGGGAGGGAACGTGAAAGGTAGTGATTTGATTTGATTTGATTTGATTTATTGTAGTCACATGTATGTAATTCTAGTGAAAAGTTCTATTTTGTGAGCGGTACCTGTACAGACAGATCATAGCAAAAACAAGGACATGCAGATCATGGAGTGCTTAGACATGGCCACGCATACAAGGTTACAGCTGCACAGGAGGTGCACAAAGCAAGATCAACATTATTTAAAGTTAGAGAGGTCCATTCAGCAGATGGAATGCCAATCAAGTGTGTTGCTATCCCGTGGATGGTGTCAAACTGCCAGTGTGATTGGTGCTGCATTCATCCAGGCAAGTGGGGAGTACTCCCTATCACACTCCTGACTTGTGCCTTGTAGATGGTGGACAGACTTTGGTGCTGAAACAAGAGGTGAGTTACTTGCTGCAGTGTCCTAGCTCTTGTAATCATAGTATTTTTAAGGATGTTCCAGTGCAGTTTTTGGTCAGTGGTATCCCCAGGATGTTGACAGTGGAGTATTCAACAATATAATCCCAATGAATGTCAGGAGATGTTGGTTAGGTTCTCTCTTTTTGGATAAGTTCATTGCCTGGCATTTGTATGGCACAAAGGTTACTTGCCACTTATCAGCTCATACCTGGATGTTGTCCAGATTGTCTTGCATTTGGACGTGACTTGCTGCAATATTTGAAGAGTCACATTGTGCAATCATCAGCAAATATCCCCATTTCTAACCTTAGCGTGGAGGAAGATCACTGATGAATCCATATGTTCCCCAGCCGGAAAGCATGGATAAACCAGAAGATCCATTGCTGACTGAACTCCAGGTGTGTGGTGTTCAAATCAGATGATCCTGACCTTTACAAGAAATCCAGATACAACCTTCATAAGGCCATTAGAGACATCAAGAGGCGATACTTGACTAAGCTAGAGACCCAAACTAACTACACAGACACCTGGCGTTTGTGGCAAGGCCTAGATGACATAACAGGCTACAAAGTTAAGCAGAACAGAATAATGGACAAAAATACATCTGTCCCTGATGCGCTCAATGTATTTTACACTCATTTTGAATAGAAGGTCAGTGAAACGATGTCACCTGCCCCAACAGCCTTGCACCTGTTCCCTCAGTCACTGCTGAAGACATCACAATGGGCTTTTTGAGAGTGAACTCACGGAAAGCAGCTGGCCCAGATGGAGTCCCTGGCTGAATATTCAGATCCTGTGCATAGCTGACAAGAGTATTTGCTGACATCTTTAACCTCTCCTTACTTTGATTTGAAGTCCCCACCTGCTTCAAGATGAAGTCCTTCGTAGGTATGAGGCTGGAAAAGCACAGCAGGTCAGACAGCATCTGAGGAGCAGGAAAGTCAATGTTTCGGGCTGAAACCCTTCATCAGGACTGTCCTGATGAAGGGTTTCAGCATGAAACATTGAATTTCCTGTTCCTCAGACGCTGTCTGATCTGCTGTACTTTTCCAGCCTCACACCTGTAGACTCTGGCTTCCAGCATCTGCCTTGCTTCCCTACAGTTTGCCTACCGACATAACAGATCCACAGGGGATGCCATATCCCTAGCCCTGCACTCATGCCTGGAACATCTGGACAGCAAAGACACCTACATCAGACTCCTGCTCGCTGACTGCAGCTCTGCCTTCAACACCATTGTCCCATCTCGACTGATCTCAAAAATGCATGACCTTGATGTCGGCTCCGCCCTCTGCAACTGGATCCTCAGCTTTCTGACCTACAGATTGCAATCAGTGAGGATAGGTAACTGCACCTCTTCCACAATAACACTCAACACTGGAGCCCCCCAAGGATGTGTCCTCAGCCCCCTATTGTACTTTCTGTACACCTCCGAATGTGCTGCCAAATTCCAAATGAATGCCATCTACAATTTCGCTGACAACACCTCCATAGTGGGACAGATATCTAACAACGATGAGTCAAAATACAGAAGGGAGATAGAAGGCTTGGTGACATGGTGCAATGAAGACAATTTGTCTCTCAATGTCGGCAAAACTGAAGAACTGATCATCAACTTCAGAAGGAAGGGAGGAGAACACGCCCCCATCTACATCAACAGAACTGAGGTAGAGAGGGTGAAGAGCATCAAGTTCCTTGGAGTGACGATAACTGACGACCTGTCCTGTACTTCCTACATAAATGTGACAGTCAAGAAGGCACAACAATGCCTGTTCTTCCTCAGACAGCTCGGGAAATTTGGCACGTCCATAAGGTCCCTCACCAACTTTTACAGATGCACCGTTGAAAGCATACTGTCCAGGTGCATAACGGCCTGGTATGGCAACTGCTCTGCCCTGAACCGTAAGAAAGTACAGAAGGTTGTGTGCACAGCCTAGACCATCACGGAAGCTAACCTTCCATCCATGGACTCCATTTACACGGCTCGCTATTGCGGAAAGGCGGCCAACGTCATCAAAGTCCCATTGCACCCTGGTAATGACCTCCTACAACCTCTTCCGTCAGGCAGAGGATACAGAAGCCTGAACACAAGCAAAAGCAGGTTCAGGAACAGCTTCTTCCTGGCCATTATCAGACTGTTGAATGGTCTCTAGCCTCAAATATTGTAACCTGCAATGTAACCTGTATGCCTCTCAGTCTTTTTGATCTGTACATCCCTTGCTTACTGTGATCTGCCTGTACCACTCATAAAGAAAGCTTTTCACTTTATTTCAGTATACTTAACATAAAATCAATCAATCCTTACTGTCTCCTGGTTGAAATGGTCTGACTTAGCCGCAGTATTAGGACTCAATCCATGAGCTTCATAACTATAGGACAAATTATTTCATATCCTACATTTAACATAATCAAGCATCCCAAGGGACAATATCTGATTAGACGCAATAAGGCAGATGACCAAATGTCTGGAACATGTAAGGTCTAAGTTGGATTTTAAAACTGAGAAAGGATCTGAGAGGTTTGGGAGGGAATTCCAGAACTCAAGGCCCAGGTAACTGAAAGCACAGAATGATAATGGTGTATGTTATATAAACATAGAAATGAGGAGTAAGAACAAAAACAGAAATTGCTGGAAAAGCTCAGCAGGCCTGGCAGCATCTGTGAAGAAAACATCAGAGTCAACGTTTCAGGTCCAGTTTTCCTCAGAGCTGTTCAGTATGATCATAGCTAATCCGCTATATCTGTGAAATTGATCATGTGTCTCAATGTGATAAATCCTCAAACTCAGTGCCATGTTTTATTTTGCATTAATATGGATTATCATCATTTGGGAATTTGAGTTTTTAAAGTCAAGGCAGATGGGTTTTGGTGTGAGTTTTTGGAAGGTTTTGTTTAAACAAGTCAGAAATTCATTTGGAAAATGAGCCATATATATATATACTTCCCAAAAAACATGTGATTTAATCAAGTGCTGAGAAGGATGCCTGTGCTGTTATTTATTGAAGTGTTTATAAAGTGGAGCTTTTATGGCTGGAATAACTACACAGAGACTGGTTTTATTTACACGTGCACAATACATGGACTCTGACCAGTTAGCTCAGAGCCAGTCCCTGGAGTGAGGAAACTCCCTCAGACTCCTGTTTATATCTGTCAGCCCAATGTTAACAGTCCCAATCATGGATCTCATACCCAATGAGATCCACCTGGCCAACCTCGTTCCAGTCACTACAATGTCACGACCAGAATGACCAGTTTAGTTTGACTTCACTTCAGAAGACTCAGGAGTTCAATTCAGGAGAACAGTTTACACAAGAGCAGAGGAATTTTGTTTGCGAAGTCACCAAGCTGTGGCAGTTTATACTGAAGTTTTCAAGTTGTCAAAACGTAAAGCTGTTCAGGCCTGCAGAACTAAAAAGCAGTTGTTAAACTGTCATGGCAGAACTGGAAGAGTCATTTAAGTAATAAATTAAGGAGTTTAGCTACAAGTGACAGAATTTCTAAGATTAAGGATCTGGAAAGGATATTACGCAAAAGGTTGGATATATGTTTTGTGTGTATGTGTGAGATAGCTTTGTATTTTCTTCTTTCATATAATGAACTTGTATTCTGGTGTTTAGAACAAGCATTTGCAGCCTTATGTGAATTAGTTCATTGACTAAGCAGCCCACAGTAACTAACTGTGAATTTAAACTTATGCTCCATCACGCCAAATTTCACTCTTGGATCTGACTTGAATAGTATTACCATCACTTGGGATCATAACATCAAGTGCCAATGGCAGAGTAATTAAAATTGAGGATGCGCAATTGTCAAGGTGCAAGAGAATGGAGATTTCTGTGAGGATTGTAGGACAATGGAAGGTTGCAGATATAACGATAACTCAATAGCTTTATTGGCTGGGAGTTAGGTAGAGATTCTAGAACAGAAAACTTATTACTGCAAAATGTGCTTGTAAAAAAATTCTTGTTTGCAACTGAGTTACCAAAAGCAAGACCGATATGACTGATTACTATTAGCAGCATGGATTTGTGTGCAATTTCCAGTGGACCCAGAATCAGAAACCCAAATAGCCTCCATTGCTGTTAATCACTTGACTGAACATGCCAATTATCAATGTGCTGTAACAATCTTGTCTTGTTCCAACTGCCATTTATTCAGAACTAGTAAAATTGAACAGCACATCTTAAAATGTAAACCAAGTTGGAATTGAAACTTAATGAAATGCTTTTGTGTCCTGGACAGGCAACCGAGGAATCAAGCATTTGTTAATTGAAAACCAGCTGCTGAAAGCCTGCCTCTCTCTGTCAAATGCAAAATCTGTGCTCATAACCACTGGATTTCCAACCCACTTCAATAACCAGCCTCCAGAAGAGACAGATGGTCCTCCAGGAGCTATTGCTATAGCAGCCATGTTGCAAGCCCAGAAGAAAACTGTTGTCATAGTAACAGATCAAAGAGCCTTGGAGATGAACAAAAAGATTATTGAAGAAGCTGTTGAGCAAGGTGCTTATTGTTTTCCTTTTGATAAAGTAAATTGCTGTTTGGTCAGAAAGCAAAGGAAATTTGAAAATTTTAGGGCAGTACTAAATGGAGATAATAGGGTCTTGTCCACCACCCAGAGAGTCAACAAGAACCCTGTGTCACCTCTTTTAGGGAAGGCCTGCCAAACTAATTGTCATTCAAGATCAATAATGCCGGATGGATGTCTCACTCACTGACCGTTGCTGGTCAATCAGTAGCCAGCAACTCTATTGAATGGCAATTAACTGCTGGAATGATATCCACCCAAGGCTGGGAATCATCATTTGTTCCCAAGCCACAAGTGAGAAATTATGGGGAGATACATGTATTAGTTGGGGAGGGGTTGGAGGGGTAGGGCGAAGGTGCATAACATGTGGTGGAAGGCAGGTGGGTGGAAGAAAGCTGGGGAGGAGTTAGCAGCAAGGACAGGGGTGTCTGTCAATGGTTAAAATTTGGAATGCATTGTTCATTAATTTTGATGAATCTGTCCATTTCACTTACAAATTCTAACTGACTTCCTGTCTACAGCCAACAGTTTCTATTTACTTTCTATTTTTTTTGTTCTTAGGAAGGTTAAAAACTCCTATCCCTGTTATTAGCTTCCAGGATAATGGCAAGGATTCAGCCCTCATGTTCCTTTGTCATGATGGCAATCCCCAGTCTCCAAGGTAAACGTTAATTGTAAAGCATGTTTTGGGGAGACAATGGGATTTCACCTTGCTGGAAAAGCAGGGTCAGTCCCTTAGTACAACACTGAGCTTTCAGCTTAGATAACATGTTGAAGTCAATGGGCATGACATGGTGAAGGGGTAAGTTAAATAAATGAAAACAGTAGTTCTGTGGAGAACACAGAAGTTGTTTGGCAAATTTGTGGTTATCTTGCTGTAACAAGTCATTTATATGCACATCTAATCATTGATAGGTTACTGAAAATTTTTGCATAACTATGTGGACAGGTTCGATCATCTCATAGCAATAGAACGAGCTGGAATGGCTGCAGATGGCAATTACTATAATGCACGGAAAGTAAACATTAAACACTTGGTGGATCCTATTGACAAGCTTTTCATAGCAGCACAGGACATCCCTGGAATTGCCACAACAGGTAACTGCAAACATATTTCACATTTGAAATTTGTCCTGTGTTCCAAGAGAACAAAAATTGCGATAATTGATTAGGTGAGTGCAGCCAAAACTGTACTCCAGAAGCTCAACATTATGTTTGAAACTAGATTTGCCACTAGGCTTGCCATGCATTTCCCCACCCCATCAGTTCAACTATGTTTAGGATTAATAGGAGCTATGAAAGGCATTGCAGCAAAGCACTGAAGTTATTTCAACAGCTCCTATCTCCCCTGAGGCCTCTACCTTACTGAAGGACAAGAACATCGAAGCTATGGGAAATTCATCACATACAACATAATCCTGCACTTTGATGATCTACATTCTAGGATTCTAAAAGAGGTGCCTTTAGATATAGTGGATCCACTGAAGTTCCCTAACTTACAGAACAGTCCCAGTGGATTAAAAGATAGTAAATACAATACTGCAATTCACGAAAGGCCAGAGAGAGAAAACAGGTAACTGCTGGACATTTAGCCTGACATGGTGGGAAAATGCTGAATTCTATCCTTAAGAAGTCAGACACTTTGCCTAATCATGTTATGATTTTTGAGTCATCTGGGTTTTCTAAAGGAAGTATCGTAGATTACAAATCTAATGGAGATTTTCCATTCTTAAGAAGTTGGACACTTTGCCTAATCATATTATGATTTTCTGAGTCATCTGGGTTTTCTAAAGGAAGTATCATAGATTACAAACCTAATGAAAATTTTTTTTAAGATGATACTAACATGAAGAAGAAGTAGTGAAATGCTGTATCTGGATTTTGAAAAGCAACCTGATAGGGCACCACCTGAAATGTGGTTTAGGGCTTGTTGACATGAGGGTAGTGTATTAGCATGAATGATTGGTTAAAGGCTAGAAAGCAGAGCTGGAATGAGTAGGTCTCCATTAATAATGAACAATATATCTGCCTAAGTTTACTGGATTGATTCCTGAGCTAAGCAAATTACCTTACGAGGAGAGATTGAGCTGAAAAGTCCCAAGAGTTTAGTCAAATGAAAAGGTTTCACTGAAAGATTCTGACAGGGAAGATACTGTAAGATTGATTCCCCTAGCTGGAGAATCTAGAAACGAGACTGCATCGGCTCAGAATAACGAGTTAACCCCATCCAGGACTGAGTTGAGGAGAACTGCTTCCCTTAGAGGGTTGTGAATCTTTCAAATTATCTATTGCAGAAGGTTGTGAATGCTTAGTTCTGAGTATATTTAGGGCTGAGATCAATAGATTTGTACATTAAGGATATTGAGGAACATGGGGGCAGGATGGGAAGATAGAGTTGAGATTGAAGATCAGCTGTTATCCACAAGTGGTGGAACAGCCTCATGGAATAACCTAGACCTGCTCCTGTTTCGTATCTTCCTGCACACCTACCAGGGTTACACATGAAACTGTCTTAGATATTTATCACTGTTCTTCCATCATCTCAGTCTGAATATTGGCATACATCTAAATCTCAGTGGTCTGTCTCAGTCCTCCTGAGTTAAAGGAGATAAGATATCGGCAGATTGTCTCTCCAGATTGCTACTCGAGAATCTGTTCAGTAAGCATCTGGTATTCGTTGTGCAAGTCTGCGCTTGCTGAGATACGAGTTTCAGTCATGAGTCATGCGGCAGCTTGATTTTAAAATTTTCATCCTTATATTCAGATCCCATTGTAGCCTATCTCTGTAACCATCTGAAAGTCTTTTTACCCCCTGAGATCTCTACATTCCTCCAATTCTGACCCTTGCACAACCCTAATTTCAATCATTCCACCATTGGATGTCAGCTGCCTCGGCCTTAAAGTCCTTCATTAAAACTTTAAAAGTATTTAATGAACAATTGAAACAGTATGTCATACAAGGTTATAAGGACATAAGAACATAAGAACTAGGAGCAGGAGTAGGCCATCTGGCCCCTCGAGCCTGCCCCGCCGTTTAATAAGATCATGGCCGATCTTTTTGAGACTCAGCTCCACTTACCCGCCCACTCACTATAACCCTTAATTCCTTTACTGTTCAAAAATTTATCTAGCCTTGCCTTAAGAACATTCAGTGAGTAGCTTCAACCGCTTCACTGGGCAGGGAATTCCACAGATTCACAACCCTTTGGGTGAAGAAGTTCCTCCTGACCTCAATCCTACATCTGCTTCCTTTTATTTTGAGGTGATGCCCTCTAGTCCTAGTTTCACCTGCTAGCGGAAACAACCTCCCTGCCTCCACCTTATCTATTCCCTTCATAATCTTATATGTTTCTATAAGATCTCTCCTCATTCTTCTGAATTCCAATGAGTATAATCCCAGTCTAATCAATCTCTCCTCATAATCCAACCCTCTCAACTCTGGAATCAACCGAGTGAATCTCCTCTGCACCCCCTCCAGTGCTAGTATATCTCTTCTCAAGTAAGGAGACCAAAACTGCACACAGTACTCCAGGTGTGGCCTCACCAGGACCCTATACAGCTGCAGCATAGCCTCCCTGTTTTTAAACTCCATCCCTCTAGCAATAGCAGACAAAATTCCATTTGCCTTTTTAATCACCTGCTGCACCTGCAATCCTACTTTTAGCAATTCATGCACAAGGACACCCAAGTCCCTCTGCACAGCAGCGTGCTGCAATTTTTTACCATTTAAAACATAGTCCATTTTGCTGTTATTCCTACCAAAATGGATGACCTCACACTTATCAACATTGTACTCTATCTGCCAGACTTTTGCCCACTCACTTAGACTATCTATATCCCTCTGCAGACTTTCAGTGCCTTCTGCACACTTTGCTCTACCACTCACCTTAGTGTCATCTGCAAATTTTGACACACCACACTTAGTCCCCAACTCCAAATCATCTATGTAAATTGTAAACAATTGCGGTCCCAACACTGATCCCTGAGGCACACCACTAGCCACTGACCGCCAACCAGAAAAACATCTATTTACCCCTACTCTTTGCTTTCTACTGGTCAACCAATCCTCTATCCATGTCAATCCATTACCTGTAATACCGTGCAACTTTATCTTATGTAGCAGCCTTTGGTGTGGCACCTTGTCAAATGCGTTCTGGAAATCCAGATACACCACATCCACAGGTTCCCCATTGTCCACCATGCAAGTAATGTCCTCAAAGAATCCCACCAATTATGGGCCAAATGCTGGGAAATAGGTTTTGAGTAAATAGGCACTTGATGTTCAGAACAGTCATGATGAGCTGAAGGGCCTCTTCCCATGCCATAACACTCTATGGCTCACCTTCTCCTACTCCTCTTTAAGATTACTCTTAAAACCTGTCTTAATGCTTCCTACTTTGGCACAGTGTTAGATAGTTTTGCTCTGATCATATTTCTGTGACGTGCCTGTGAAAACTTTACTTCATTAAAGGTGTCATATAGATGTAAGTATTGGTGAGAATTTGGCTGAGATTCTCTGCCTTAGGTGACATTTACTGTTCAGACTCTTGATCACAAATTGAATCTTTACAAAGCAGTTCTTGATCTGACTGTTCCTTTCCTCTCCCCCTTCTTAAACGTTTCTACTAAAGTGAAATAGTCCCATCAAAATGTCTGTGCCACATCTGAGGAAAGAATCTATCTCCTTTCTTTGCCTTCAATTGTTGAGTATTTCATGATGTTATTTCAAAAGTTAATGTAATCCCTGGAGCTGATTTTCTTTTTACTACGTTTTCTTGACAGTAGTAATTATTTAACCTGAATTTCCAGCAGTTGTTAAATGCAAAATGACTGAAAAACTTGTTTAAGAATACATTCCATCTGCATGATTCTGGAAGAGTAAACATGTAAGGTTAGGAGCAAACAAAATTACAGAGTCAGAGGATTGTTTAGTCTGCCATATAGTCATTGTATTTCTCTTATTCCCTCGGTTTCTTTATCTGCTGGGTTTGTTGTGTCTTTACTCTCCAGGCATTGGAGATGGAGGGAATGAACTCGGAATGGGAAAGGTGAAAGAGGCTGTGAAAAAATACATTAACAATGGGGATCTCATAGCTTGTGATGTTGAAGCAGATTTTACAGTTATTGCAGGTGAGTTTTATTCAGTTTTGCAGCAGTTCAGATTTTTCAGCAGCGGAAGGAGAGGCGACAGCGAGGACCAGGGGGCTGCCGGGAATATATTTGGGCAGCGGCTGAACCCGAGACACTAAACGTGTAGCGTCCCCCACCCGCCCTCCTCCTCTAACAAAAAAAAGGACTCTGGTGTGTTGGTAAGGTTTTTATACTTTTTCTATTTCTTCTGTTTCGTGTAATTGGTTAAAAATTTACTTTCTTTTTTATTTATCTATTAATTGGTTATTTGAAAACACCATAGCAGAGAGGTATTAGAAAGTATTTAACTCGTAAATTGATATAAAGTAATTAACTAAGTAGAGATGGCTGGGCAGGTGATGTGCAGTAGCTGTATGATGTGGGAGCTGGCTGATCCCATTGTGAACGGCAGTGACCACATCTGCAGCAAGTGTTGGTTGCTGGAAGAACTTTGGCTCAGAGTTGAAGATCTGGAATCTGAGCTTCAAACACTGCGGCACGTCCGGGAGGGGGAGATTTACCTGGATGCTTTGTTTCAGGAGGCAGTCACACCTGGTAGATTAAGTAATTCAAATTCACTTAGTGATCAGGGACAACAGGGTGTGACTGCAAGTGAGGCAGGTAGGGAGATCCTGAGTTCAGGAGTGGAGGAGCCTCCGCTTTTGACGTTATCCAACAGGTACGAGATGCTTGCTCCCTGTGTGGATGAGGAAAAGGGCTGCAGGGAGGATGAGCTAGCTCACCATGGCACCATGGTGCAGAAGGCCATTCAAGAGGGGGGAGCAAAAAGACAAGTGGTAGTTATAGGGGATTCTATAGTTAGGGGGATAGATAGTATCCTTTGCAAGCTGGATCGGGAGTCCCGCATGGTGTGTTGCCTGCCCGGTGCCAGGGTGCAGGACATCTCTGACCGGCTTGAAAGAATATTGGAGGGGGAGGATCCAGTTGTTGTGGTCCATGTTGGGATTAACAACATAGGCAAGGCTAGGATGGAGGACCTGTTTGGGGATTATCAAGCACTAGGAACGAAATTAAGGAACAGGTCCTCGAGGGTCGCAATCTCCGGATTACTGCCCGAGCCACGTGCAAATTGGCTTAGGGATCGGAAAATTAGGGAAGTAAACACGTGGCTAAGGGAGTGGTGTGGGAAAGAGGGGTTCCATTTCATGGGGCATTGGCATCAGTTTTGGAACTGGAGGGATCTGTACCGATGGGACGGTCTCCACCTGAACCGATCTGGAACCAGTGTTCTAGCGAAAAGGATAAATAGGGTGGTCACTAGGACTTTAAACTAGTGAGTTGGGGGGAAGGGAAAGGGAAAACGACAGGGAGTATGTTGGTAAATAAAAAGGTAAGCAGCAGGTTAGCATGTGTGCAGGAGGGTTTAAGTTCAAGGCAGACTATGAAAGAAGCAAAAAGGAAGGATAACTCAGGAGATATTATTAGAGATGTTGGAAATCATGAGGGTAAGAAAGTTAGCATAAAGGCACTTTACCTGAATGCTCGTAGCATTCGTAACAAGGTTGATGAGTTAACGGCACAAATCATCGCGAATGAATATGATTTGGTAAGCCATTACGGAGAGATGGTTACAGGATGGTCACGACTGGGAGTTAAATATCTAAGGGTACCAGACTTTGGAAGGACAGACAGGAAGGTTAGGGAGGTGGTGTAGCTCTGATATTCAAGGATAACATCAGGGTGGTGCTGAGAGATGGCATAGGTTCTATGGAGAATGAGGTTGAATCCATTTGGGTGGAAATTACAAATTCTAAGAGGAAGAAGTCACTGATAGGCATAGTCTATAGGCCACCAAATAATAACGTCACATTGGGGCGGGCAATAAACAAAGAAATAACTAATGCCTGTAAAAATGGTACGGCAATTATCATGGGGGATTTTAATCTGCATGTAGATTGGCCGAACCAGCTCGGTCAGGGTAGCCTTGAGGAGGAGTTCGTTGAGTGTATCCGTGATAGTTTTCTTGAACATTATGTAATGGAACCGACGAGGGAGCAAGCTATCCTAGATCTGGTCCTGTGTAATGAGACAGGAATAATTAATGACCTCATAGTTAGGGATCCTCTTGGAAGGAGTGATCACAGTATGGTTGACTTTAGAATACAGATGGAGAGTGTGAAGATAAAATCCAATACCAGGGCCCTGTGCTTGAACAAGGGGAACTACAATAGAATGAGGGAGGACTTGGCTAAAGTAGACTGGAAACAAAGATTTTATGGTGGGACAGTTGACGAGCAATGGAGGACTTTCAAAGCAATTTTTCAAAGTGCTCAGCAAAAGTACATTCCAATGAAAAGGAAGGACTGTAAGAAAAGGGGTAATCTGCCATGGGTGTCTAAAGAAATAAAGGAGGCTATCAAATTGAAAGAGAAGGCATACAAAGTGGCCAAAAACAGCATGAAACCAGAAGATTGGGAAAACTTTAAAGGTCAACAGAAAGCCACAAAAAGAGCTATAAAGAAAAGTAAGATAGAACATGAGAAAAAACTAGCACAGAATATAAAGACAGATAGCAAAAGTTTCTATAAATATATAAAACGAAAAAGAGTGGCTAAAGTAAACGTTGGCCCTTTAGAGGATGAGAAGAGGAATTTAGTTATGGGATATGATGAAATGGCCGAGGCATTGAACAGGTATTTTGTATCGGTCTTCACAGTGGAGGACACTAATAACATGCCAGTAATTGACAAAGAGACGAAGGTAGGTGAGGACCTGGAAACAATCATTATTATGGAAGAGGTAGTGTTGGGCAAGCTAATGGAGCTAAGGATTGATAAGTCTCCTGGCCCTGATGGAATGCATCCCAGGGTACTAAAAGAGATGGCGGGAGAAATAGCAGGTGCACTGGCTGTAATTTTCCAAAATTCGCTGGACTCTGGGGCAGTCCCAGCAGATTGGAAAACAGCAAATGTGATGCCACTGTTTAAAAAGGGAAGTAGACAAAAGATGGGGAATTATAGACCGGTTAGCTTAACCTCTGTAGTGGGGAAGATGCTTGAGTCTATTATCAAGGAAGAAATAGCAAGGCATCTTGATGGAAATTGTCCCATTGGGCAGACGTAGCATGGGTTCATGAAGGGCAGGTCATGCTTCACAAATCTTTTGGAATTCTGAAGAGATTACGAGCAAGGTGGACAATGGGGACCCAGTGGATATGGTGTACCTAGATTTCCAAAAGGCCTTTGACAAGGTGCCGCACAAGAGGCTACGGCATCAGATAAGGATGCAAGGCATTAAGGGTAAAGTATTTAGCATGGATAGAGGATTGGTTGACTAACAGGAAGCAAAGAGTGGGGATAAATGAGTGCTATTCTAGCTGGCAGTCATTGACCAGTGGTGTGCCTCAGGGATCGGTGTTGGGACCGCAATTATTTACAATTTATATAGATGACTTGGAGTTGGGGACCACGTGTAGGGTGCAAAGTTTGCAGATGACACTAAGATGAGTGGCAGAGCAAAGTGTGCAGAGGACTGTGAAACTTTGCAGAGGAACATAGATACATTGAGTGAGTGGGCAAAGGTCTGGCAGATGGAATACAATGTAAATAAATGTGAAGTCATTTTGGTAGGAGTAATAGTGAAAAGGATTATTACTTGAATGGTAGAAAGTTGCAGCATGCTGCATTGCAGAGGGACCTGGGTGTCCTTGTGCATGAATCACAGAAGGTAGGTTTGCAGGTACAACAAGTAATTAGGAAGGCAAATGGAATTTTGCCCTTCATTGCTAAAGGGATTGAGATTAAAAGCAGAGAGGTTATGTTGCAGCTGTACAAGGTGCTGGTGAGGCCACACCTGGAGTACTGTGTGCAGTTTTGCTCTCCTTACTTGAGAAAGGATGTACTGGCACTGGAGGGGGTACAAAGGAGGTTCACTAGGTTGATTCCGGAGTTGAGGGGGTTGGTTTATGAGGAGAGACTGAGTAGATTGGGATTATATTCATTGGAATTCAGAAGATTGAGGGGGGATCTTATAGAAACATATAAAATTATGAAGGGAATAGATAAGATAGAAGTAGAGAGGATGTTTCCACTGGCAGGTGAAGCCAGGACAAGAGAGCATAGCCTCAAGATTAGAGGGAGCAGATTTAGGACTGAATTGAGAAGGAATTTCTTCACCCAGAGGGTTGTTAATCTATGGAATTCCTTGCCCAGTGGAGTAGTTGATGCTACTTCAGTAAACGTTTTTAAAGATAAGGTAGATTTTTTTTGAACAATAAAGGAATTAAGGGATACGGTGAGAACGCGGGTAAGTGGATCTGAGTCCATGAAAAGATCAGCCATGATCTTATTGAATGGCTGAGCAGGCTCGAAGGGCCGGATGGCCTACTCCTGCTCCTAGCTCTTATATTCTTATGTACATTGGAACCTCCAAAGATTGGCTTTGACAATGCAAATTTCCAAAAACATAACGACCTCAGCATCATTTTTATTTAGTTATTTAACCTGTGACCTTCAGGAAGTGATGTTCATAAGGATGTAGTTGGTAAGGCACAGGGACAGAAAAGATTCAAATTATAATTCTCAAACTGGTTGGTTTACGAAGCTAAGATGTGCTGAATGGATGATTTAGCAACTTCTGGCTGTGATTGGCAGAGATGATCACTCACTCACTCAGCAAGTAGTTAGGGTACGAAATGCATTTCCCAGAAGTATGGTGGGAGGCAGGTTCAATTGAGGCATTCAATAGGGTATTAGATGATTATTTGGATAAGATAATGTGCAATGGTAGGGGGCCAAAGTAAGAAATTGACACTAGGTAATGATGCTGAATTGAAGAACCAGTATAGGCACAAAGGGCTAAATGGCCTCATTCTGTGCTGTAAGATTTCAGTGATTCTGTTTAGTTTCTGAAGAAACTAGGTTTCATGGATAAAAAAATCAAAGGTTCCCCAGAAGGGCTTTAAGAATCTCAATTCACCATTAAACTTGAAATGCACAAAACAGAGATGTTATTTAGTGCGTGACTAACCTGTGCTTGTTCAAAGTAATGCAGTCAGGATGCAAGTTTTGTTTACTTTGTTGCACTGTTGAGTGGCTGCACTCTACAGGAA